TAAAAGAGAGAGAGAGAGAGAGGTGGATACAGGCAAGGACGCGGTCAAAAAGACTCCCACCCCTCGAAAACAGAGTATATATATATATATTTTTTTTTTTTTTAAAAAGAACAATACTGCAATACTGCAGATAATGCGGGTACAAGACATACAAATCACACACCTGCGCACAAATAGAAACATCAGCGGCGATTTTGTCAAGCCCATAACTTAGTGGCATATGGGCTCCCCTTCAGGGTTAATTTGCCCTGCCAACTTTAGGCGATGATACAATATTAACATATATGTGCACAATTGTGGATCCAAAGATAATAAACAGCATGAAGGCGGAAATCCACGTCGACACGGATGTCTTGCTTTCCTTCGCCTCACGAGCACGTTTTTTTTCCTCGCTTGATGGGCGAGGAAGACGAACTTGGTCATTTTGCTTCTGTGCCTTGGCACGCATCGTCCTCGCCGGACTCATGGGCATTTTTGTTGACTTTGTTGTCCCCTCCCCAGTCTGTATTTCCTCTCCCTACCTAGCGTTCTAGCTCTACGCCACAAATCAAGTGAAGTCGTAACAATAATAAGCGTCTAAGAGGAATTCTCCGACACGGCAGAATAAATACATAAATACATACATACATATACATCATATATATATATAAAGAATAATAAGGTTTACTCTGTATTTACCTTTTGGTGTTTGTTTTTTCTCTTGCGGTTTCGTAAATCTTAAGAAGTGTCACTGTCTCCGTACACTGCCACCATTTACTGCCTTTCTTCACGGAGGATGTGTCGTGGGCGCTCACACGCGTTATTTGTTGCACAGCTCCGCTGGTACTCTTTACAAACGCCCCTTTGGACGGCACACCCCCCTCTTTCCTCAATGACGCAGCTGAAGCCGCTCTGGACAACACGGCCCGACCTCGTCATTGGCGCAAAGTCGCAGACACTGGAAGGCGGAGAGTTGTGTGGGAAGAAATAAATTCCCCGCTCCCTTCAGCACGCCTTTGACACGAAAAAAAAAAAAAAAAACGAATAACACCACTCACAAAAACAAAAACAAAATGGAACATCCTTCACGGTTCCTCATATGCCACTCGGTATGTAGATGGGCAGTGGAGAAGCAAGCAAGTCGGACCAACAGCTGTTCCACAACGAAACACAAAAAAGGCGCACTTCTTTGCTATTGATCGAAAGTTCTCGGATGTTTTGTATCTTCCTTTTTTATTTTCTTCCTTTTTGTGCTCCGTTTTATGTATTCCGTCTGGAGGGCATAGATAAAACAATCACACGCAGGCACTAATGTGTTAAGCTACTTCTTGGGGTGATTTGCAATAACTTCGCGAAAGCGTCGAGGATTAAAGTAGTGCGACTTCTCTTCAAGACGCTTACGCATTTCCTCCACCCTGTCTGGGACGCCACGAAAATTCTTCGTGGTGTCTACGCGAAGGTACAGGTTGAAGGGAAGAGCATAGGGTATACGCTTGGCGTACTCAACAATGTGGTTGAGGCACCGCTCCTCATCCTCCTCACTCCACCAAAAACAGGCTTGAGGATGCACAAAACAAGTTATGTCAACAACCGGCTGTAGCAGCTGACGCTCAACATCAGCAGGAGATGAGCGCGTCACTTGACGAAAGGAGCTCTTCACAACAATGGAGGGGGCATAGGGCAGAATGATCGGAATTCCATTCTCGAACTGTTGCGGCAAAGGCTCCCTAAACCAGGGCATCTCACGACCATCTGCTGACAACATGCGTTGCTCCGTTCTCGCAGCCTGTTTATCAGCTACTTCATCAGTCGACTCATCTCGCACAGTGAACGCGCTAGAGTACGCACTGGGGCAATCGGGTGCACCCATCTCACCGAGCTTTAGTTCCAACGGCTGTGGATTGCGCTCAACAGCGTACATCTCCAACATTTCCCACAATACTTGTTGCGTGACTGCCGCATGAAGTTCCCACTCCTGTGCAGCTGCCTCTATTTGTGGGACGACGCGTGGATCCTCTGGATGAACGCGGAACTCGTACCCAATCGTAGACACCTGAAAAACGGGATTATCGGGTGTGCTCCAGACACGCGGACTAAGCGAATGGTCAAAACGGCCCACAACAGAGAAGTCAGGAGCCGTCCTCACCTCAACCCGTACACCTGAGCGTTCGACACTACGAACGGAGGAGCGATGGTATAGTTGCAGCGCGGCAGGATTTGCCTTTGCTTTTCCTTCAAAGTAGACATCGCTTGTGTGGCCGTAGAGTCCACAACGCCACCCATGCTCCGCCACGCCTCGATTCACACATATTGATGTGGAGTGTCTCGTGTCGGAGCGACGAAGAACTCCACAAGTCTTCGCTTCAATGGCAGCAAGAAGCACGGCTCGTTCCGTGCGCGAGAGAGCGAGAACATTATCAAACAAATCTATGAGTTCAGTCCGATTTAACCATTTTAGTTCATGCCAGTCAATTCCCTCCTCCTTCAGCTTATCGAAGTGAGGGGTAAAGTCACACATCATTTTGTACTGTCGTCTTCCAACGTGACCGCTGAGCTTCTCCAGAAGGAGTTGCAAAGATATAAATCTGTTCTTTTCATCCACGCTGTTAAAAGAGTTGCTGAGAACCATCTTTCGAGAGACGGAATACCGCGGGTGGTAGCGAAGCGCGTCAGCCAACACCACACTGCGTGTAGGCACCTTCGTCACCTTGCGCACTGCCAACGAACATCGCATGCACGGCGCTACAGTCAAAAGCAAGTAAATAAATGGGAAATTTAACAAGAAGCAGAGAGGGGAAAAAAAGGGAGGGGGGTGAACCTTTTTTCTTTCACCCTCGGCGGAAAACAACGAAAAGAGCAAACCAAAATTATATAAATATATAAAACAAAGAGGACTGCAATGAAAGCTTCTCAGAAACATCATGCATGCACGTGCATGTGCGCGTGTTTTCTCTTTTCACATGATCCCGAGAACGCACAAGCTTCCCAAAGTAAGAGTGCCAATAATGTTTTGCATTGGATCTCAGCATCACCCACCCACCACAAAAAAANANANANANANACACACACACACACACACACACACACTAC